ATCAAGACGAGTTTAAGCCTCTGCGAAGAGCAACATGACTCATTAGTTTGAAAAAAAAACTATGATACTAGAATCTTTAGCCTTATTTCCTATTAAATATTTTACCTGGAAAGCTATGAAAGTTAGGAAATTCTTCAAGATCAATACATTAAACTAGCTAACTTATGAATACGTTTAAGTGCCAAATCAATGATTTCGTTATAAATAGTATAATGTCCGAGAGTATAATTATTTGCTATAGAAATACATATTTAGTCAAAATCAATTTTTCTTCTTTGGTAAACTTACTTGCATCTTATTTACTTGTAATTAATTGATCAGGATGAAACAACTGACGATAGGTACTAGTACGTACTTCATCGAAAACCTTTTATAAATAGTTTAAATAATCAGACTCATTTTTGTCCCTACCGATAACAGTTGGTTCCAGTCGACAAAAACAGCTCATAGTACATGTTTACTGGCACCTATTGCAGTAAAGAAGATGTTGAACGAATCATCACGTTCATCAATGTTTTGATCCAATGGCATTAGCTATCTATTTAAACTTTCCATGGTATAAACCATAGAATTCCAACATGCATTACCAATATGAGCAACAACTTGACGAACCTGAATTGACACACATTCACATATGATCTAGAAACAAGAAGTTTTTTGAAAGTAACAAACGAAATAAAAGAACAATCACACTGAAGATGTGTTTTTATTAATGGAGATAGTAGTCACATGTTTGCTGTCGCACGTCATCGCATGGCGACTGACTAGCAGAGAGAGTAAGTTAGAAAGAAATGTTAAGTAGAGACGGAGAAAAAAAAAGAGATAGGCAAGATTCTCTGCCGATGGCAGCAATGTCATCTCGAAATAAATTATCCTCTTATTCTTAGCAGAATGAATCAATGGAAGTGAAGTGTTAAGTTTTTATTGGAGACAATTGAATTTATTGAAAATGAAGAAAAACGATAACAAAAAAAGACAAGTAAATGTATTGTCTTAATACATGTCGAAATGGCACCGTCGAATGAAATCATTGAAACAGAATTTTTCAAAGGTAGTTATTGCTTTTACTGTTGCTACCCTGAGTCGGCTCACTGCTTTATGATATGGATTCTAGCATGAGAACTTGAATCTGTTTAAAAGGAGCAGTGAACTTACTCAGTGCCTAATTTTAACACTAAGTTAAGTTTCTTCATGGAGTTCTCCTGAGTTACCTTCATCGAGCTAAGTTCGGTCTTGATCATATCAAGCTCGTCCTTCAATGAAGTCATAGCATCTTGCATTTAGGTGTAAGTGACTTCTTGCAGTGCTCATATGTTTCAAATTTAGAATGCAACAAAAAGTTAAATTTTCTTCCTGAAGTTTAGTTACTTCGGATTTTTTTATTCTCTTTTTTGTTTCTTACTTCCTTTTTATTATATTTCCTCTCCAAATGATCAGACCAAGTCTCTTTTTTACTCTGCTAACCATCCAATGGAACTAACTATAGAGGCGCAATGCCTTTGCGCGATGGCTTCCCCTACTATATACTACTGTCATCTATCGCAAATTCGTCGACATCGCGAAAAAATTCATACTACAGCCTATTTGGTTTCAATCTAAATAAAAAAACACTACCCTTGGTTTTAAATAGAAATGTGGGTATGGGTGTCTTTTTTAATACGTATTATTACAGATATCTGTTGAAATCTTTGTTTTGAACCGTAGAACTAGGTCTCTTTGTAATTAGAACGCTTTATTATATTTTAATGACTTCAGACCAAGGTTGTAATTGGGACGTGTTTAACTTTCTTCAAACGAATGCTAATTTCAGATTTCATCACTCTGCAAATTGAGTATATATGCTGGAGAAGATAGTATAACTCTAAAGATCTACTAAAAACTCCACTAACAAAAAAAAAGGATCTGTAGATATTTATTGTGATCACAATTTGTAGAGAACTCTAGGCTCATCATCGATAAATTTTTTGGTAAAGATATCTACAGATATATGCGAAGTAATGACTTATTCTAAGCATCTCATGAAATGAGTAAGAATATTACTAGATATGTATCAGTATGATATGATATATCTTTTTATGTATAGTAAGATCCCTTAACTTTTCAATGTTGCCAAAAACTGAGCATGATTTTTCCCCAAAATTCAGATTCATATGCAAAACAACATAGACTCAGAAAATTCAGCCTAATACTGGAATACCAGGTAGTTTTATTTTTGTAGACAAAATATTTTCAATTTAAAAACTAGATAAAACTCTTCACAGTTCCAGAACTCAATGACTCCTGTATCAGAAGACGAAAAAAAAAAAGTGAATAAAAATGCCGCTTTAGGACCATCGATTATATTCGACGCTATAACTCCTCACTTAATTTTCTTTGTCTTTTACATATAGTCTACTTCTTCCGATATATTATCTCTCTCTTTGAGATTGAAATAATGATTTCTTTCAAGCCTAGACAATTCATCACGTGATGATCAATCTTCGAATAAAAACAAAGAATATTTATTATTATAACGAGCAGTCATGCGCTATATGATCAATATCTAACTTTCTCTTTCCTCCACTTGACTTGGCCTCTAATTTATTCGAATATTTCGATGTATAAAAAAACATGAAACCTATATGGCAGTAGTAGCAGAAGCTGTTCGACTTTATTTTTAGATCAAAGAGATATTCAAAAAATGTGATTTTGTGTTTAAAGATAATGCCGAAATAGCATGTAAACTTCTATCATTCAATTCAATCTGGTCAACTACTGGTTCTAGAATCGAGTTTCGTTTCATCTCACTGACGAGTGCACTAACATCGAATGCTATACAAACTCCTTATAACTTGTGAAGAATATCCATCTTAGTTGCTGTTCTACAATGTTCTCGTGATAATTGTTTTGTGTGATCTGATTCTATAGAAAGATACAAATAACAGATGCTCACCACGTAGAAAAGGTGAGGGATTCATATTGAGAGAAAATGACGGCAAATTAATGTTGAATTTTCAAAAGTATCTTTCATTACTCTAGTAAATTATTTTGAGGTTAGCGATTATTTAGCACTGGAGAATTTTTTATCAAAGATTGTATAATTTTCTTTTTCTATTTCAGAAAGTTCATATTTGAAGATAAGTTCAAAAAAAATTTCCACATTAAATAATATAAAGTCATTCATTGATATTTTCTTACAAACAATGATTAGAATACTTCTCTTTCATTTTATATTATGTAAAATGAATTTAATGTTTGAAAAGAAAATTTTTTCATCAATAATATGGAGTTTGTGTAAAGAAATAATTTATGATACAGCATCATCATCATCAAATATGGGATTAATGCCACCCTGGGTGAAAGGCTAGTTTGACAAGTTATAGTAATCTTTCTTTGACATACTAATTTTTTTATATATGGTCTTTTTCATTTCACACTGAATTTTTCAAAAATAGTTATGCCGCCTTTTTTGAACTAAGACATTTGAGGACATTTTACAAAATCATGCGTCTCTTAAAGCATCATAAGAGAAAGCATTTTTCGGCTACATAAACGAAGCAATGACGCATGTTCGTAATAAACATAGCATTGCCATTTCTTCGTCTTCAACCTTAGTCTCGTAATTCATCGTTACACTGAAAAATTGATATAACATTACACACTTTATATAACCTCTATTTTTAAGAGTTCAGGCCTTGAGGGTACAGCTGTGAGCACACGATATTTTTTGTTTCACTCTTAGCACAACAAACACTTTCTATTTAATTTTTTTTCATCCTTTACTGCATAAATGCTAATTAATTAGAGCTATAAGGAAACTTATTTTGGCTACTAGAATCAATCAATGTCAAATGCAGCTAAAAGAATAAAGATGAACTCTTTTCCTCTTATATTTGCGTGAATAAAAATCTTGAATAGCTGTTCGACCAAAGACATGCATCAAGAGTTTTCAATTTACCTTAATTGTTTCTCCTACAAGCAATTATCTAATGATATGTACAGTTGATGACCACATCTTTACATTCACAATAAGTAGCGTAATTTAGAGAGACAACAGCAGAAGTGAAAATTTATTTAATACATTTAGATTTCAAACCATACAGTTCTTTACTATACTAGACACCTTTTAGTCGCATATATATCTAAAGCCTAATGTTGGTAGCGATTACTTTTCTAAGCTTCACTTTAGTGAGACTCTCGCCTGCGAACCTTCTTATTCAAGATTGTAGTACTTCCAATTCCGAATTCCACAACATCGCAAACCGAAATGACCACAGTTTAAGTACATTTACTAGTAAACTAAGCATCCAAAACATGGCATTATGTTTTCAGCTTTATATTATAACGCACACCGATATAGAATATTACATGAATTCTAAAGACTAACAAACTTGTACCCGATATGAAATTCATGGTATATACAGTACATAATACCATACGAACAGTGCTGCTCAGTACAAGCCCGCACACAATGAACGCAGACGATACTTTCAGTAAGGATTATTATATCATTCTGAAAACTTTCAAGAACACCGCATCCCATTTGAAATGGAGTGCCGATTTTTGTTTTAAATTTAGATTGAAATCAAAAACACCAGCCTACGAATTTTTTTCAATGAAATCTGTCATATTTTGATAAGAATAGATTTTCCGTTGATAATTCTGTTTCATTATGAACAAAATAGCTTAATATGTGAAATAATTTCATTCGTTAAAAATAATATTGCTGGCAAAAAACAATATATATTGTTTCTTCCTCTTATATTATCAAAAACATTGTTCTGATTGACTTATGTCATAACAAATGGCAGTAGATGTAATGGGTAACAGCAATTCATGAATAATTTTTTTTAATTTCTTTACAAATTCAAGACAAATAAACAAAAAATAAGAATTACACATTACGTTAGTCTAGTATTTTTTGTCTTACTAATTTATTTAAAAAACATAGATTTGAATATTTCATAATTACAATGAGATAGATATCTATAACAAACAAATTTTTTGTTTTAAAACTAATTTCATGATTCTGATTGTTGACTTGAATCGGATAGAGCTCGTTTATTACGTAGACTTTTTGTTCTACAAAAGAAAAAGAAAATATTTGTACTCAATCACTTTTTCTCTTGTTTACTTACTTTGCTCTTCTTTTACTTGATGTAGATGCATTTGTCATTGATCGTGATGGTGGTTTCTCACTACTTGTTGTACTTTCATCTTCATCTTCAATATCTTCATCACCTTCATCATTTATTGGTTGAGTTGATTGTGTATTATTTTCAGAAGTTACTAAAATACATATAGTATGTCTTATCTTTTCATAAAGAGACATTCGAATGAAACATACTACTATTGTTTTTCTTATTTGATGATAATTCTTGCATGATTTCACGATGTTTGCGAATATTTTTTCGACCTATACGAGACAATTTTTAGTAATTATCGAGACAAAAAAAGAAGATCAAACACTTACGTTCTTTTTCTCGTTCACGTTTCAATCGATCACGACCAAGCAACTGAAAATGAAATTCTTGTAGTTCAATAAAGTACAAGAGATCAATATCTTACTGTATAGGATGTAGCAGAGGAATATGAAAAAAGTCGATCAGATTCACGAAACTTTGATGATTTATCAATTGAACTAATGAAAACAAAAAATAAATGAATAGCTAAAAAATAATGAAAATAAGATTAGTAATCTAATACTAGTAATGTCTTATTCTAGGTATATATGTTGTGAGATGCTCTAAACTGATTTCTTTGCAATTATCATAAATTTTACTAAATTAATATTTAGTGAAACAGGTATGAGAAAAGGGAAACTTTCTCATGAAAACTTTAGCTCCATGATTAATTAAACTAAATATCAAAAAAAAAAAGTAGAGCAATTGAATTGAAGTTAATTCAGATGAGTTGGAAGAAAGATATTTCAGCTAAAATGACTTCATTATTTTTCGAGCTTCTTTAGTACAACAAAAGCCATAGTATCACAGAAAATATAATACAGAAAGTAATCCAAGCCCTGAACAGTCCTTAAACAGTCGTAAATGATTCAAATATAGCGAATAGCGGAGATGTTACAAAAAAGAATTATCTTTACTTGAACGAAGTGCAAGCGGCTCAAATACGTTTTATCCATATCACTTTCTCTACTGCTCTTCCAATCTTTATTCTTTTTAAGCTAAGTTCTCAAGGAATATGTTCTTTTATTCTGTTACACAAAACTTAGTACGATCTATTGAAACTTTAGCTATCACAAACCATTCGATCTATGGTAAATTTTTCTCTTGAATCGATCATAATTAATAGATCTATAGAAAAATGAAAAAGACATGATACTATATAATTATTCATTTGCGTTTTTTGTTTTCTAGAGAAAAGTTAACGATATTGAAAAGTATAGTGAGGAAAAATGACAGGAAACTTTTGGTAATAGCGTGACAAATAGAAACTGAGAAAAAGCATTCATTTCTCACTATCTATTCGTTTACTTTGATAAATTATGGATAGTTTCGATAAAAACTTACTTATTATTTCCACTTCCACTAGTCAAATAATTGTTCCATCCTCGAATACAATTTCCTGTATCTTGTGTTTGTTTAAGATAACTCGTTTCAAATGCATAAATTTGTTCTTCAATATCTGATAATGATTTCTATAAATAAGTTTTCATTTATTAACGACATAGAAAAAAAACAATATCTTATTAACAAACTTCAATTTCTTCTTTTTTCTTCAATAGTTGTGCAAGTTCAGCACGTGTATCACGAAAAACATGATTTGTGATTGATTTATCTTTATTTGCAGTTGGACTTGTTGGTGATGCTAATGTTGTAGTAGTCGTAGAGTCTTTCATTCTTTTCTTTCTTTTTCAAAAACAAGAGAAAATAAAATCAAACTATTTTCTATGTTTATCTAAAGGAATATTTGAATAATCTTTATTTCTAATGAAATTTTATTTTATTAGTTTCATCATTATATTTTTTTTAAAAGATACAATAGAACAAACAACAAAAAAAAGAAGAGATGATTATTATTTATTGTCCAAGAATTATGGTTTCTTTTATTTTAGTATTGTTTAATATTCTTCACCTTCTCCTTCGCCTTCACCCTAGAATAAAAAGAATAGATTATTTTATTTAAAATCAAAACATCAAAGATGACAATATTATCTTACCTCAACTGAATCAACACCAACTTCTTCATAGTCTTTTTCTAATGCAGCTAAATCTTCTCGAGCTTCAGAAAATTCATCTTCTTCCATACCTTCACCAACATACCAGTGAACGAAAGCACGTTTAGCATACATTAAATCAAATTTATGATCAAGACGAGTTTAAGCCTCTGCGAAGAGCAACATGACTCATTAGTTTGAAAAAAAAACTATGATACTAGAATCTTTAGCCTTATTTCCTATTAAATATTTTACCTGGAAAGCTATGAAAGTTAGGAAATTCTTCAAGATCAATACATTAAACTAGCTAACTTATGAATACGTTTAAGTGCCAAATCAATGATTTCGTTATAAATAGTATAATGTCCGAGAGTATAATTATTTGCTATAGAAATACATATTTAGTCAAAATCAATTTTTCTTCTTTGGTAAACTTACTTGCATCTTATTTACTTGTAATTAATTGATCAGGATGAAACAACTGACGATAGGTACTAGTACGTACTTCATCGAAAACCTTTTATAAATAGTTTAAATAATCAGACTCATTTTTGTCCCTACCGATAACAGTTGGTTCCAGTCGACAAAAACAGCTCATAGTACATGTTTACTGGCACCTATTGCAGTAAAGAAGATGTTGAACGAATCATCACGTTCA